TTAGCTGATGATGATAGGGCCACAACAGATGAATCATTTATTGCCATTCCTCCTCCAACTACTCCAGTATTATTCTTAAATACTAATCTATTTTCTACAGTCACCACAGAGGTTATAATCACCAGTCCTGTTGATAGACTATTTGTAATAGTAATGTTACTAAGAAGGATAAAAAGACACTCTGCAATCTTATTTCTCCTGTTTCCAACAAGTTCAGTATCTATAACACTGATATGAGCTGATGTTGAGAAACCTCCAGCAATTGATAAACCTGTAATACTATTGTCATGACTTGAACATGACTTAACAGTAATATCAGTATGATAATTACTTAGTTGAATATAATCTCTAGATATATCAAATAATAATCCATGATCATTGTTGTAAAATTGGGAATCCTCAATTACAATAGTAGACTGTGATTCAACTCCTTTAATATTACAATATTTTGATTGCTGTGTATATGTGTCTAAAGAAGAAACAAATCCTATCTCTGACTTAGATACTGATGAATGGGTAATATACAGAGAAAAAAGAGATTCTTTGAAATAATGAAAAACACCATCTGAATCTGATGAACTGATAATATTGACATTATCAATAACAACTGATATATTATATGAGGTACCATGATTCATATTAAACATTAAGGAGCCATTAGTCAGAGTAACATTAGTCAGTGTTAATGAGTAATGGTGTAATTCATTGTAACACACTGGATAATAGTCAATACTTATATATGCATTATCAAAAACTGAAGATGTTATCTTACTGTCAAAAACAAGAGAGAGCCTGACAGAATTGTACATGTGTCTCAAGATTTTAAAAACAGAACTAGCAATTGTAATGTTACTTGAATAACTAAAATATATGCTACAATCCTGGAATAATAAGTTACTGAAACTGATATGACTGCTTTCATAGATTGCTACATTATAATTGCAGTGAATAGTAGGAGACTGATCCAGTCCATGTAGAGTTATATTTTGTACTGAGTCTATTGTTAAAAAGTCAATGACACTAGTTCCAATGAAGTAGAAGATGGTGTTATTGTATTGAGACATATCCCCAGCATGCACTGATAAAGGATTACAAGGTGACTGAGCAACTGAACTGCAGTCATCAGACACATAATACTGACCAGAGGAGACACTGCAGGAGCTACTGAAGAATAAGAGAACAACCACTAACAGGAGAGACATAGCTACTGTCTGTACTGACTGACTAGTGTATACTTGCAGGCTGTGAGTGATGACTTATATAGGCTACTTGTTCTCCAAATATGGAAATCTGATGCATAGTTGTGATGATTAGATTCAATCTAATTAATAGTACAATATACTACAAGTCATTCTTTTTAGTTGATAACGTTTACTTTTTATAGATGGTATTTATAGTCATTTATACTAATTCTTTAATAATTTATGATCTAACACAATTCTTTGAAGAGAAGATGAGATAATAAAAAATATTAATTGACATAATATAGTCTCATACTTGTAGTGGAGCTATTACTTTGTCAGTATCTGCTTCACTCAATCAGTTTCTCTTAGTCTATATCTCTCCTACTCCATTCTCTCATCTTTACTATGGACTGCATGGTAATCATACTTACATGATAAGTCATTATGTGTACAATCACAGACATACTCTATCATTATATGACTGTACATTGAATAAATGCTCTACTGGTATATGGTTAGTTATGAGTGTGCATTACCTCAATATTAATGTGTGTGTGTGTGTATTTATGAATAATGTGGTTTATATATAAATAAAAGTCATTAAAAAAAAGAATTATGCCTCAATTACAATATAGGAGAGAGGGAGAGAAGGAGAGTTAGTTAGTGAATGACATTGTGATTGTATCTGCTTTGCTTCATTACAGATGAATGTTGTGGCATGTGAACAGGTGGGGATTGACTTGTACTTGAACAAATCAAAATTTTATGAAAATATGTACACATGCATGTACTTTTATATTGGCTTGAGTTTTTCTTAGAATTTTTAAATTTGTACTTGTAGTACAAATCTGTGTTCATGCATGTATACTAGGAATATTTGTTCATTTATGTCGTATGTACAAAACTTCCCACAAATTATTAGCTAATTTGTGTTGTAATTTAGTTGTAATTTGTAAATTTGTAATTTGTAATTGCTGTAATTTTCCACTAATATTCTCAACCACTGTAAGAGAGTAAATTAAATGCTTGGTGTGATTCATATACACTAAGCCACTATCAGTATATGCATCTATGTACAGGTGGGGATTGAATTTTTTAATTTGTGCACGTATTTGAACAAATTGGAATTCTAGGAAGACATGTACAGGATAAAAGAGCAGCTGCACATGTATAATTAAAATTTTTCCTAGAATTTTTATATTTGTCCTTGTAGTAGGAATCTGTGTTTCTGACTTCATGTACATACTAGTAATTTGTTCATTTATGCATCAGTACAATGTACATGTACTTCAATTGACTGTACTCCAATAGCTTGCCATTAAAGTGTTATAGTACAGGTTATTTTATAAAAATCACTAGGAAAGAATACTTTATAATAATATATTTTTAAATTTACTTACATTGTGTAGAAAGTTTGGACTGATTCTGATCAAAAATCGATTTTTGTAAATTTTAAAAGTTGCTCCAAATACCATGTACTTATCACTAGTGTAATATAGTGTAGTATTATTACAGTTATTATTGTAGGTGTTTTTGTCCATGGGTTTGGATTTAAATGATAACATGCAAAAGCACTAAATTAGATATAAATAATAATGATTGAAGAAAAGGGGAATAGCTCAATTACAGAGAGAAAGAGATTTAGTTAGTGAATGATATTGTGATTGTATCTGATTTGCTTCATTACAGATGAATGTGGTGATTTATGTGGTTATGGTATTGTAGTGAATGATGATCCAATGATGTTTGTTAATTTCATTGGTTCAGTCCTTCAGTCAATATATTTCATCATATTCTGCCTATTCACTAATGATAAAGTTTATAAAGAACACTTTAAATTACCGTATAGCGCTTTAATTTGGCGGAGTTTTATTTTGGCGATTGGTGGTTTGCAAGCAGAATCGCCAATATTAAAGCCACCAATCATTAATGCGTATGCTCAGTAATGCATATCTACACAAAAACTGCCAATTATAATTTTACAGCAAAATCGCCATAATAAAACGCCACCAAAATAAAGCGCTATACGGTATTTCTATTTTTGTCCAAATTATATTCACAGTAGCAACCAGAAACTGTTTTTACAAGAGTTATTTCATTACTGAATTTTAAAATGAAAGATAGTTGCTACAAGTTTATCTATTACAGACTGTATTGCGTAATAAATTGCTACTAAGTTGCTAAAAATAATCATTAAAGAAAGGATTATGCCTCAATTACAATATATACTTAGAGGAGAGAGAGAGGGGGGTAGAGAAGGAGAGTTAGTTAGTGAATGACATTGTGATTGTATCTGCTTTGCTTCATTACAGATGAATGTGGTGGTTTATGTGAACAGGTGGGGATTGACTTGTACTTGAACAAATCAAAATTTTATAAAATTATGTTCACATGCATGTACTTTTATATTGACTTGGAGTTTTTCTTAGAATTTTCAAATTTGTACTTGTAGTACAAATCTGTATTCATGCATGTATACTAGGAATATTTGTTCCTTTATGTCGTATGTACAAAACTTCCCACAAATTAGTAGCTAATTTGTGTTGTAATTTTGTGATTTGTAATTTTGTAATTGCTGTAATTTTCCACTAATATGTTCTCAACCACTGTAAGAGAGTAAATAAAACACTAGTTGTGATTCATATACACTAAGCCACTATCAGTATATGCAGTATTTATGAACATGTGGGGATTGAATTTTTTTAAATTTGTGCATGTACTTGAACAAATTGGAAATCTAGGAAGACATGTACAGGATACAAGTGCAGCTGTACATGCATAATTAAAGAATTTTCATATTTGTACTTGTAGTACAAATCTGTGTTCATCACTTCATGTACATACTAGGAATTCGTTCATTCATGCATCAGTACAATGTACACCTACTTCAATTGACTGTACTAGAATGCTCTAAATGCTCTAAATGCTGCAATGTACTATAGTGTAGTATTATTACAAATATTATTGTCCATGGCTTTGGATTTAAATGATAAGTGAGCTAGTGGTACACTACTTGCATGTACTGTTATTCTTTGTGTCAGTTTAGGAAATTTAAGTTTATACATTCACTCAAAATAGCTATTTCCCCATGCATGACTTTGACCATATTTCTAATTGCCTGCTATCTATGTAACTGATAATGTGAATCGATTTTGGACTAACTTCACTTCACATAATAAATACAAATTTAATGTAGCTTTGTGTCATTAATAAACAATAATTTTGAGTGATATTTTCATTTTTAGTTCCCCAATTTCTTGGGCTTTGTACTATCAGCATTACAGCTTGGCCTCTTCTTAAAGTATCCAAGAAAGAAGGTGGCACAGTCTCCTTTACCTCAATAGCCTTCACTTGCCCTCTCTATTGCTCTTTTTGATAAAAAGCAATGACAAGGGATTATTGCTCAGTACATGTATAATTATTAACAGTACTATATATACAGTTTAGTGATTCACATCTCATTGTCATAATGTTAACTCTTTTATAAAGATGACATCTTTTCAACATGAGTAAATTAAATGGCACATTCATTACTAATAGTAGCAACAAGAGTATCCAAAATCAGCAGGTGGTAATGAAGCCATTAATATACTCCTATTTTTGTAGATAACAAATTTTGCTACTTTCACAGATGGTTATACTTCAGAAAATTAAATCCCATTTACAATTTCTTTGTGGCCACATTTTATTTAC